TGCTCAAGGCCAGGTTGGATGGGCCTCAGAGCAACCTGGTCTAGCGGGAGGTGCCCATGCAGGGTTTTGGACTACATGATCTTTACAGTCCCTTTCAACCCAAATCATTCTATGAGTCTACAATCTCCACAATATCCAGAAAGTGACAATGGCCTGCAGTGGTATCATTAGAGTGAGTCTATGTTCCTTCTATTCCCCTTTTATTTGATTCCAGCTTGCTCAGGCTCAAACTCTTCTTAAAGAAATCTTTGTAAAGGAAAAAGTATATATGAAGGAGTTTCACATACTAGCCATTTGGATTCTTGAATATGTCTGCTACATTCTCCTTTATGTCATTCTCCACTTGGAAGACATCAATGTCTCCGGCCAGATTAATGTCACAGCTACTCTAACAACTAGTTACAAGAATAAAAGAAGTGGAGTGGTATATGATTACTGCCAGTTGTGAGGTTTGTATCCTTCACCTGTGGCACAAATGCTATGATGTCCTATAAGACAAAAAGCCAGTCTCACCAGAGACTGACAAGCAAAAAAACCCATGAGTAATTGAAAAACCACCCCATACAAACCCTATAATAGTCACACTCACATAATCTGTTACTTTGTTTCTTAGGGAGATAAATAAATACCAGTTACCTCATTTCTTAATTGTTCGCTTCTTTCTCTCCAGGTAAATTCTAATACTACAAAAATACATGCATTTCTTTTCCTCCCCAACATACTGAAAAGGAAATTGGCCACACACATTTAACAGTGGCTGGTTGAAAACTTTTCTGTAAACTGAAAACTGCATTTTAAGTTGATTTTTAATTAGCTGTTGTTGAAATTTGATAGAAAGTCTTGTTTTTCAGGCAAATAGATCCTCTCACTTGAGGGACAGAATGGAGAAACAGACAAATGTACCCTGGCATTTGCCCAGTTTTCAGTCTCAGGTTAAGCTATTCTGCTATTGTTGACAAGCAGCTCTATAATGTTTCTCAATCCTTATGAAATAAATACAATAAACCCCTCCAAAATTAAAGAGTAAGGGACAAGCTGCTGAAAAAAAATCCAAGGTTCTAAAAATTTTGTTCATGACATAGACAAACAACAAAGAATTACTTCTACTCCATCAAGCAGTAACATCAACTCCATATTTTAGTTAGCATGGGCTGTTTCCTGACAGACCAGTGTTTCTGAAAGACTTAAGCAACATCTCTAACTCTAGTTTGTGAAAACATTTTCTGCAAAGTTTCTAAAGGTTTTACAAAGAATAAGCAAGAAACTGAAGTCTATTGTCAGTAGAACCAATTTGCTATATAAAGATCCACAACTTAATTGCCAACTTGTCTGGGGCCTGAAAATTCTAAAAGATGGAGTGTTACTATAACGTTTAATCTCTTTTTAAAGTAGCTATCAAATATGATAAAAAATTACTCTAAAAAACTAATTACTTATTATCCTTATCTTAAAGTTAGCAGCCTCATGGCTTTTATTTCACCAGACTGTAGGAATCCTTTTTCATTTTCTCAGAAATAGTAATTTGGCTGTTCAATGTATAAGAGAAAGATTTGGGAGATAGTTGTGTCTTAACACACAGAATAAAACTTTATGTGACTGGCTATATATATTTACTATTAATGCTTCTGTTGCTTCAGAAGTGAAGCTGAAGTAACTCTGTCTACATTACATGAATGTTACCTGAAGTACATACTTAAGAAATTCACTTAATATAAATCAATTTAACATTGGTGTAATGCTTGGGTTTTTTTCCCTACCAAAGGCAAAGTCTTTGCAACAAAGATAAAAGTTAAACTCTTCCCAGTCAAAACACCATTTAAACATTGCACAAAAAGTTAATACAAATACATCTTTATCAATTATTAAGTACTTTTTGAACGACAGCTCAAACGGCATACTGTGAATAGGAGTTGGTGAAACTACTGGCTCTACCTTATGTGTGTTTGTAGGATCAGGCTTTTAAATGCTGTTATTTTATTGTCCACATAATTCTAATACAAGTTCCAGTGTTACAGTACTAGAATTAAAAAAAACCAACAAATGACTTATAAGTTTCCAAACGAGTTTTGTAAACTCAGACTATAGAGTCCAAATCCCTTTTTTAGAAATAGATCTAAAACCTCTCTAAAACGGCAACCCAGACTTTCTGCTCTCCCACAAACTGTTTTAAGTAGGTTCATAGATACTAAAAAGCAAAACACCTTCCCGTCCCATTTGTGGTATGATATGACTGATGCCCAGAAACTGCACCCAAATATTTTTTCCAGAGTAAGTATGGTGACTCAATGATTAGTAAAAAAGCACAGTAAAATTCCTCTCTGGACCCACATTATCACAAACTGCATTGTATGACTTCCACCGGGAAGTGTTTTCATCACATTGCCAAGCAAGGATTTAAGACTGCTCACAATTTACATACAGAATCCTAGTTCTTACTAAACCTGTGTTTCCACATATAATTAAAACAAAAAATCTGAGCTTTCAGTAAGGCTTTGCAGCGGAGATCAGAAAATAACAATTGGCTAACATCAAGTGACTTAATGATTTCAGCTCAGCTCTTCTGTACAGCGGTGCCAAAACCACAAACCCAAATTTTAAAGGATCTCATTGCAATCAGTATATTGTCTAAACTAAGCTCTTCTACCATCCAGTTACTGACAAGCAGGTATTAAATGCCCTAAATAACTAGTTTAACGAGGGCAGGCGAGTTCCACCTTCCTTTGACAGCAACCGTGAGCAGCCAGCACCTCCCAGCCCCAACACATGGCTGAACACGCCTCCCCTCCCGCCTCCTCTTTCAAGCAGGTTCCAAGCAGGCCCTTCACTGACCAGCAAGCCCTGGAGCTTTGGGCACAGGCACAGGCGGCACGGGCGGGCAGGACAGCGCAGTTTGGGTGCTAGGGGATCACGCTGCGGCCCAACAGCTGCCTGTCCTGAGGAGCAG